TTTTTTGCGCCGCATTCAACTGCCTCTTCCTTTTTCAGTCGGCACAGAGACACAACAATTCTTTCCACAAGATGGGCTACTTACAAGTAAGCATGTAGTAAGGTACATATGTACATGTGCGTGCAGATTAGTCACTTTAGCTTCGTGGAAAATTTTGTAGGAAGTGTTGAAAGGAACACTTTAAAATACAAAGAGCACGTGAATGTAGTAGTGCTTGGTGGTGATCAAGCTGATAGTGATGGTATTAAACAGAGGCCACACTTTATTTAAGATAGGCTATGCTCAAGCGGGTTTGGGCGAAGTGGGGGTGTACAGTGCGTCGTCGCGCGAGGATGCATACATACAAACGTGAGAATATATAATAATATATATATATATATATGAGTGAATATTTTTCCTCTCTGCCTGCTCGTTTAACAAAAGCTCTCCTTTTGCGCCTACTCGAAAAGGTTCTTTTTAATTTTACTTTTCAACTCCTCAACTGTAAAAATATAATTTTACTCAATTATTAAACAAACGTACATTGCATATACAATTTGGATGCCATTCCAACAATTTAAGAAAAAAAAGAAAAAGAAAAAAAAAGAAGATATAGTAACATGCGCATGTACAGTATAAACTTATTTTGTTATGCTTTTTTTTTTCTTATAATCCTTTTTTTTTTTTTTTTATGCAATACTTTTAAGATTGCGCTTACTCATTTGAGAGTATAAAAATTAAAGAGGAAAACTTGGTAAAAAAAAAATTGAAGGAAAAAAAAAAAAAATCTGCAAAAGTAAAAAACGTTGCTAAATAAAACACATGTATATACCCTGCTGCAGGAATTATACGAAAGGAATAAAACGCAAAATTGGAAAGGGGAAGGGGGGGAAAACTGGCTAGGTAAAAGCACGATAAATTTTATATGCATATTATGAGATGACTGAAATGTAAAATGCAGAGATGTAAGGATACAAAAGGTAAGATGTAAGGTGGCTTGAAAATAACAAAAGAAAAAGTAAAAATGATATAAATTGAGTACAGTTGCGCAAGTACGTAAAATATGTAGTAAAAAAGTAAATAAAAAATTAATTTGGGTACTCAAAATATAACTACTATAACGGTGTCAAAATTTAAAAAAATAAGAATGTAAACAAAGGGAAGAATAATAATATATATTATGGATTGACGAAAGAAAAACATTTAGGGCACTTTTTCTTCGTTTTTTTTATTTGTTAAAAAAAGGCACCTTTGTATGTTACACTCCGCGAATATGTAAATGTACGTACTACAACGCAACTTGTATTCCCGTGTACGCAATGCCATATGCGTAAAGGTATATATGTTTTGTTGCAAGTTTTTATTTTCGCGCTTTCTGCATTAAGGAGATGAAAATACGGCCTACGGTAGTGTATACACAAGCGCACGCAATAAAATACTATATTGCATTGGGGTATGCTGCTCGTGGCGGTTTCTTCTCTTGTAGCTTTTTATGCGCGCCATACCTTCTTTTTTTTTGTATGCTTTTTGTAGTTCTTTCGTGTTGCTTTGGAGAAAGGCATAAAGTAAATAAAGCCTGGAAGGGGGCGAGCGCTTCCAGCAAAAAAAAAAAAAAAAAAATATAATAATATGCTCTTATGGAGCATATGCTGCAACCTTCAACAGAGGTGACACGTTATATATAAGTAGGATTAAAAAAGGGGCATATATATTATTCGTTTTTTTTTTTTTAAGCAACATTTCCGCATATCCATGCAGGTAGTATGACGCAGTATTCTATCACTTTGCTTGCGCTGTATTTATTGCATTTTTTTTTCTTTTATGTACTTTTTTTTTCCCTTTTATTTTGGCGTTCCCTTCACCCATTCTCATATGATCATTTATCACTCTATCCGTTGTGCGTACCTGCCGGTGGTCCAAAAACTCGCGGCACTTACACGATGGGGCGACCATACGCATAAAAAAAACATGCTATAAAAATTTGGGAGGACCATGGGTATATCATTTGGGTGAAATACGTATTATAAGCGCCCATTTTTGCAACCATTTTGGGTACAATAAATATATGCGCGGCGTAAATACATGTGCCACATGTGTATGCCTTCTGCATGGAACGGCTTTATATGATTGTGCATGTGCATATGTACGTGTGCGACCACACGTTACCTTATATATGTGCGTGCACTACTACGTACACGTAACAATAGCAGGCGGCATCAATAGTTGCGCGCGCAGCGGTACGCGTACATTTAGGCGACGTACGGTATCCTGCTACGACTTAAGCTGGAAATCAATAATAAAAGCAAAAGCATACATATGTACGTACGGTGTATATATATATATGCGTCTGCGATGCATGTATTCAATAGCTGCTTACTGTAGTTATACACATGCTTGCCGTACCGCCTTTACTACAACGCGTACGCAGTTTTGCCTGCTGAAGGAAAGAGGTGTGACATGGTGCCACTCTTCAGGGAATGTAAAAAAAAAAGGCCTATTGCGCATGTGCGTGCATAATTTATGCCACACGTATAAAATATGAGCACATAAAAATGGCACTATTTTAAAGGAGCCTAAGTAAAGGGGTGTATAACGCGACTGTGCAATTGTAGGACAAAGTGAAAATTGCCCACGATGAGCTTTCGTTTTGCTTTTTTTTATTATTTTTTTTTTTTAAAAGTAAAATGTACACTCTGTAAAAGGTTCGCATTTTTATTTTCCCTCCGTTGGTGTGTTTATACAAATTAACATGCAGTTATCCGTTCCTTCTCTTTTCTTTTTTTTGTTGTTTATTTTCCTCTCAAAATGCAAATGATGTATCTTTGTTCCCGAAAATAAAATAGCTGTCATGCGGTTGGAAGCGCTATATTTTACACTATCATACCCGCCCCCCTTCTCTACACCCATATTTGTTTAAAAGGGTTGCAAAAAAAAAAAAAAAATTTTGTTCTGTTTCTTTGGTTTTTTCTTAAAGGAAATGCAAAACGAATGCATTTACACCTTTTTTCGGACAAAATAGAAATTGCTTCATATATGTTACGTTTTACACACGAGTTATTTGGGATTCTTTTGTTCTTTCTTTTTTCTGCTAATGCGACAGATTTCCCTTTTTGCCTACTGACCCATACGTAATAAAGAGAACACGCTGGAGGTAAACGAATGCATGCCACACAGGCACACCCATACAAAACACATACAAGTTACAAACACGCATAATCACATAGATAACATTGTTATATGGAGGCTCCATTTATAAGGCATTTACATTACGTACGCTGTTATTTTGCCCATTGAGCGCAGTCACCAAATGTGTGTTGCTCTCACTGCTGGTGCATGCGGAAGTGACCATATCAAGTGGTCATACCGTGTGGGTGACAAGAACAGGTTGGGTTGGAATAATTAGATTGATGGGTGTGGCGGAATCGCACTCGGCATGCATTCTTATCTTACGTGTGTGTTATTTTAAGATTGCACCATATTATCACAAATGTTAACTCATTTCGAACCATCTGCGCATACGCGTATAGGCCAAAGAGAATGGCACAATTTGCCTGAGCTGGTACTACGCCTGAGTGAAAGGCGAATTCAAATGTGCTATCAAAGTGTTTGTAAAAATTAATGTCGAACTTGAATCCATTTCTTCCCCTTTATTTTTTCTTCTTTTAATTGCAACCCATTTGGACGCACAAACCGTTGAAGGGAAAAGACGACATAGTGGTATAACGCAACAGTGCCTCTGGGTCCATCACGTGTGCATACGCACATTCTATGCTGCACATGATGATTGCTCGTTCGAATTGGTTCACTCATTTGATTGGCCCACTCGATTTCCCTATTTGTTTTTATGCCGTGTTGAGCGTGCCTCAGCATATGTCGCTACGCCTTCCAACGCACCTATCTAATGGGCGCCATTTTTTTTTAACCTCCTTTTTAATTTTTCTACTTTGGCACTCCTTGCCAAACCCGAACTGCCGTTGCACATTAATATAGGTGTGCATAGAAAGGGGGAAAACTGATCGCCGCTACTCAGGTTACTACACCACCAAGTTGAAAAGTGAAAATGTGCTCGTATACCGTTCGATGCGCTCTGCGAACATGCATTTTTTTTGTTTTTTTTCTTTCCATCTAATCGAGCCTAATTGTGAAAAAAACTGAGTCAAACGAAACACATGGCCTTATTCCATCTCACACTTTGCTTTGTAATAAGGTGAAGAAGTACATGGTTACTATTTTTCTTGTTCCTCTTCATGTGTTTAAAATGGTTTTAAGTGAATTTCATTCCACCTACGCAGTGTGATGTGGTCTTTCTGTGCACGTATTGTGTTTAGGTATATTCACATGGGTAAAGCTTCTCGCGTAGGAATTTTGTATGTATGTATTGCGCATATGTGCCTGCTCGGCACCCCTATGTAACATATGGGCATTTAAGCCACTTGTGCCATTTTTCTGCGTGCATGCACATAGCATTTGACATATCCTGCGGCCCATGGAAATCGCACCTTGTTCTTCTTCCTGCATCTTGCCACTTTTAGAAACGGGGAAAGGGTACCCAAAAGTTGTGCATAAAAAATTTTTTAACTTAACCCGTTATTTTTTTCTTTTTCTTTTTTTTTTTTTTTTCTTATTCCTGTTGTTAGTTTTTAGAAAAGTGTTATACAAATATAGTATTAAATAAAACATATATACTTCTGCGTTATTTATTTTTCGCTTTCTTTTAATTAATTATTTTTTTTTTTTTTTGTTTCCTCCTGAATTTATATTCATATGTACATGTAAAGCTTTAACCAAATAAAGCATGTGTTAAATATAAGCGTAACAAATGTTTTGAATTCTTTAGTTTTCACATTTGTTTTCTTTTTTTTTTTTTTCTATCCGTGATCATATGTTTCAGTCTTTGGAATCTTTCTTCATTTTTTTTCTTTCATAAAAAATAAATGAAAGAAAGAACACAAAAAAGTTTATTTATTCCTACCGAACTAATAGGCCTTCTTATGCGAATAAAATAAATCAGATTGTGAAATATGAGGAGCCGCTTGAAGAGGTAGAATGCTAAGAGGATTACAAATCCGTTAATGAGTGTTTTTTTTTTTTATTCCATTTTGCTTCATCCCTCATATATACGCATACACTCCTGAGGGCACGTGTGCGGCACAAGGTATATTAATAACATTTTCTCCCCTAATCGCAGGACATACATTTACATAAAGTCAAATTTGAACAATATATCGTCCATAGCAAGCATTATATGCCTGATCGATTGTATTTTAATTCCGCTGATCACCGTCCTCATTTCTATCTATGATGTGGTCATTGGTTCTCAGAATGGCCACTCAAGTGGGGGCGATGACGACCACGACCACGCGCATGGATGGGAAGAGATAGTAGAGAGGGTACCCTTGCGTTTGCAAGCCGCATGTGTGCGTTTGCGCGAATATGTACATGCGTCTACCCAATTGTGTAGCAACCGCTCATTTGTTCATATTCTCCTCCCCCCTCCCTGTGTTGCAGATAGCGCTGTACGTGATGACACCGATAATTTCGATCACGACCATTTACAACTTTATTCAGCTGAAAAACATGTACCTTCTGCTCACGACGCTCCTGGGAATCGCATTGTTTGTTCTGTCTCATGCGCATATTAACTTTGGCAAAGAAAATGTAAATAAGTTTATAAAATCAGTTCATTTGCCAATGGCAATATTTGCGGCAATTTGCTTAATAGGCACAAATTATGTAGCGCACAAACTTTTAAAATCGAAAAACTTAGATAGTTGTTGTAACCACAAAAAACTGAAAAATCATTTGACTCCACAATCGTCCACAACAGATCATGCTTTAGCAATGAATGAGGATAATAATGATATGCATAATCACGCATGCAATAATGGCCATGTTACAAATATGGAAAAATATTATCATATTGGATTTCAGCAGAATAATGAACATGAATTAGTTAGATTTTTGTGAAGTCAAATGGTGTAAAGGGAACAAGCCACGTCGCCACTATGATGTGTGTGTAATCTTCTTATCGTAATGCACAATCGGTTCAGACAAGCCAAATAATTTGAGATTTTTTTTAAAAAAAAAAAAAATTAGCTGTAAAATAAATGATACAACAAGCGTGTGCAAGAGGGTATACATTTACTTTTCCATAAAATTTTGAAATTGCAATTAATTTTTGTTTTCTTTTTTTTTAAATATAAAATATGTCATGCATTTTATTGTACAATAATTAGTTGTTTCCATTTTTTGTGTTTCAGCCTGTGATGTTACTTCTCCGCGTGTGCCACATGTGTGTATATCTGTATACTTGTCTGTGGGTATATGTACATACTTTTATGGGCACATAGACACGCAGGCAAAAATAAAATAAATAAAATAAAAATGCGTGAACGGGGGGGGGGCCTTGGTGCCTCCACTATAATCACGCTTCTTCCACTTTGTACATTTCCGTATTTTTTAAGTAACAGCGATAAATATCGCGCTTCTTTCTTTTCCTTTTTTTTTTTTTTTTTTTTTTTTACACTTTTTTTTTAAATACCTGCCGTTGTGTTGTTTTATTTATTCCCTATTTTTTACTTTTCATTTTTTCATCTGTTTTTTTTTTTTCTTTTTTGCCACAATTATGTAACATATATGCAGGAGCCTTTTTCCACACTAAGATCTCATCTTAGAAAACAAAGGAAAAAAACCCATGTGTGTGTAAACTCGAGCAAGTGTACACATGCATATGCAATAATAAACTTTTTTAAATCCTTTTAACTGTATTTGAGCAGAGTTTTGTAAATGTAAAAAATAAGAAAAAATAAATAAGACGAATTCTTCTTCCAAACGATGAGACATAACAGCATTATCAAAAGGTACGAATTTTGAGCTACCAAATGGCAATACAGATGGGAGTGAGGGTGATACAGAAAAAAAGGGAGCGAGCCTTTTTCGCTGTGTTACGTAACCAATTGTAAAGTGTATTATTTGAAGAGGAGGAAAGCCATGTTATATTTTTCTTCCGAATAAGTACTAACACATTGCGTCTCGCCTGAGGATGCACCACTTTTGTGCGCTCCTCGCAGAGACCCAACAGAACGGGCGAAGCAGACAGGCGCCCACACCCACTACGTTTTGCATATGTCGCGACTATGCTGCGACGAAATAGTGAAAACAAAGCAGAGCTTCACAAAGCAACCCAGACCATATTAAAAAGAATAAGCTCAAACTTCGTCTCAAATGCGATGAGATGGTTGTTCATCTCTAAGAACGCTACGCGATACTGTTACTCACCCATTTTTGCAATCCCCTCAATCTCAAAAATGTGAATCGGTAAGGTAATTATTTAATAATTGTCATACGGATGGGTTTTTTAAGTTACAATCACGAATGTTAGTTGAAGAAAAAATGTATCTTTTTCATGAAGCAGGAAAATCGAAGAAGGAAAAAAAAAAAAAAAAAAAGGCATTTACATTAAAAAGTGAGAGGCATGCAGAAGTGTCAAAGGTCGGCTGTTTAAAAGCATAGGCGGTATAATTGTAAGTGGCAGGTGCTTCTCTGCAACGGCTTGGCACCGCTACAGGGGTAAAGAGTGGGACATGGGATAATACATTGCTGGGCCGGCTGCTTACACAGCGGCATACATGGATAAGTTATAAGAACAGGTGGTGGCACATATAAAGATAAACAGGTCGGCGGACTTCCCCGGCTGCTGATCGGGAACTCCTCGGGAATGGAATGCCGGGATAGGCGAGAAAAACCCTGGATCCGCGGGCATAAACGTAAACACACATGGGCATGCACACAATAGTTATGCACAAAACAGTTATGCACAGGGGAGTATTACGATCGGCCTCGCTGGCTTCGCTCCTGCGAACGCTCCGCCTCATCTCAGGCGACAGTAGGTCTTCGTAATTGGCATCTTAAAAAGGAAAAGCATAAAGGATAAATAAAGGAAGGAAAATATAATGGCAAAAGAAACAGAGTATACATTATGCACTTTCTGAAGGAAATCAAAAAGGGTCAACGTCAAGTTGGCAATGATTATCGAAATAACAATGATGAAAATAAATACTTTGGAATATTTTGTTAAAGCATATTTTCCTAACACATTTTTATGAATACTAAATCGGTAGAGAGGTACAATGGCCAGAGGCAGCAGAAGGACTTGGATGACATTGATAAAATTTGTCATTTGGTCAATGCTGTACTTATCGTATAGTAAAAATAAATACAAAATGGAGAAAAGGAAGAAACGGAAAGATAGTACTCGTAAAAAGGTGTTAACTTTTTTATTTAAAAATCCTTCAAATACAGACTTGGATGCATATTCGCACATAAAGCTGGAGTTATTTCCACTACTTAGCAGACCAAAGGACCATATATACATAGAAATTTTCCCAAATGATTTTTTCATCACTTCGTATGCTGTGAAAAGGTTGTAAGCATCTTTCCTGTCGCGCGCATTGATGTTAACTTCGGCAAAGGTTAGTACAATAATGCAGTTGGTGACACAAGAGAGAAACAGCGAACCTGCTGATTCGACCGTACCCAATGTGTTGTATCTTTGTAACATTCTATCATTAAATATTACGGCCTTCTTCTTGGATGTTAAATTTGTGTGTAAATAAAATACATGAGCTGATATGATACTTCCTAATAGTGCCATGGCATCAAATCCTTTGCCTGGAGGAATTCTTGGGTACAAAATGCTGTAAGCCACTTCTTTGTAGTTAATTGGGGTCATAAAAACGTTAAAAATGAAACACAGAGCTAACAGTCCGATCAGCATACTTAGCACATTTTCTAAAAGGTTAAGACTTTTGTTTTCCAGAAAACTATATACTAGTGCTTCCACTAGGGTATACAAAATGGCTACCTTCACCGATATTCCAAAAATCAAATGTATAGCTACAAAAGTACCTACAATGGCTTGCATGTGTGCACCCCAAATGGCTAGCTGAACAAAAAAGTACAATAGGTAAGAATACTTTTTATCAAATTCTTTGTTACATATGGAAGCCAAATCTAACCCTGTCACGTGTCCCAACTTCATAGAGAGCGTTTGGAAAACAAAACCTAAAATATGACCATATGCCAAAATCCATAGTAAATGATATCCTGTATAATCCTTCATCATACCATTATTAAAACTTTTATCTGGTGATCTAATTAACCCTACATTTAAATTGCTGCACAAATTTCCTGGGTCCAAATATGCTATGGCTACAATCCAACCTGGCCCAAAATAGTTAAAGCACATTTTGAGTTTTTTCAAAAACGACATACTCTTGTCCTCGGTGCATAATTGTTCTTCTATATTTTCAGACAGATAAAATGAATTGTTGTACATGTCATTGTCTCCATAATCTTCATCGGCTAGCTGGTGATCCATTGTATCCCCCAATCTGTTATGTTTACGTTTACTCTTGGTCATTCTTTTATTCTTGTAATTATACACACAGTCCTCTATTCGGCTATTTTCATCACGCATTTCTATCAATTCATCCTCCTCGTCATATTTATCATTATTCCCTTCAATGTTCATGGTCGATTGCGTAGAGTGTAAATTCTTTATGTACATGCTTCGAGCCTTCTCTGTGTCCATTTCAATATTTGCTATGCTCGATTCTTCTTCTTTAAAATTCGTGGAGGTAGCATTACTAGTAATGTTTGAATTGTCATTATTTATTTTCGCAAAACTGCATACATCATTTTTTATAAAACTTCCATCATACGCATCGTCATGATTCGATTGTCCTACGTCTCCTGCATCAGCTACTACTGTCCCATTTGTGGCTTGCCCTACATCGTTTTCATCTTGCCAGTGGGTGCTCGTCGCGTTCATTCGGTAACTGTACACGTTGGCTTGGTTTTCCTTGCCGTTCCTGCGTTGGGTGTTTCCATTTTGGTAGGTCCCATTTCTGCCACTATACAGATTAGCCTCTCTGCTGCTGTTGCTGCTGCCTTTATTGCTGGCGCCACTTGCGCCGCTCTTACCCCCGTGCGCGTTACTCATTTGTGGCTTGCTCACTGGTCCAATAACGGGTTGTAATTTATTCCCTTTTTGTCGTTCGTTTAAACGCGATTAACTTGGTGTAATTCGGTTCGCGTGGCTGCTACGCTTGATGCACTGTTTGTGTGCCTTGCAATATATTTCCTCTTCGTTAGGGTAGATTAAGAAGGCAGGTTGCATAAAGGCACCCAGGTGAAAATGCTGCTTGGCTTCTTGTACGTCTTGAATAATACACCAGGTTTGTACACTACTCAATCGAACCAGGCATTTGCTTCACAAGGGACTTTCTCCCACGCACACTCCACAAATGGTATGCTGTGTCACCCTCTCCGACGCTTCGCTATATATGCACATAACAGGTATGTATATTACCGTGCACGTTACGACATGACCATCTGGGATTGCGTCCAGCTACACACATACAATCTGCCTTCCCAACTGCCACTCGTTCAAACTTTACAAAAAGCATCCAGTGCTACTTGTACACTGTACACTGTACACTGTGCACTTACAACAGTGTTTGCATGAAAAAAAAAGGGGGCATTGAAAAGAAAAAAAAAAAACTCTAACGCTGTCGCTAAACAGCGGAGGTTACACTAAATATATTCATATAATGGAAGATATACAGGAGAGAGCGCTACACAGTCACGACTACGTGTCGTGGAAGTAATATATCGACAATTTCGTTAACGCTTTCGTTTTAAATCAAAAGTCAAAAAAAAAAAACCATCTGGATAATCTACCCAAATGGTTATCCATTGATGTCGTGAAAAAATAATATAGAAGAGGATGCCGGAGGCGAGGAGCAATGTTTGGGGTGCACACGACGTGGATATTCCTGTAGGCAGTTTGGTGAGTTGCCTGCGGATTATATGCTGATTTACTTGCTCATTTTATTTGGTCATTATTTGTAGATTGTTTTGTGCGTTCCGTGGTGGCTGCGCAAATGCTTCGCGTTAAAAGATGCAATAGTAGAAGAATCAACTTGAGGTAGACCAAACGGTCACTCGCGGAGCTGTGGCCTCTGTGCCCATTTGCCGATATGCATAAATTGCTAAATGGCTACAATCCTCTGCAAAAAGAACGCCCATGCATCTAGGGAGGCACATATATGTACCCTACATACGTGTGGTCGTGATTTTCGCGACGGACTGATAGAGAGAGAGAAGCATGTAGTTTAGTCACGTATACATACATAATACGTATGTAACATAGAAACATGTATATATGCTAATATACATATAACACGTTGTGAAAAATTAATTAGGAATAAAGCATTCAATTAGAAATTGACATTAAACGAATGGGGAGCGTGTACAAAAATCTACCATTCGTTCGGGGAACGAAAAAAAAAAAAGAATCAATAAAAGAAATTAAGAAGATTAGAAATATGCAGCCATATTCGAAATATATTCACTAAGGTGATCGGGCAAGGGCGAACATATTTTTATAACAATTCATACAATAAAACATGAAGATATTATTAATGTACGTAAGCCAAATACATATATAATTAGAGTAGTAGTAATGGTGCTTATACATTCAATAGGGGCAAGAAAGAAAAGGAAAAAAAAATGCAATAATTACCGAACGTGATATGAGGGTTATCAAAATATCTAGGTTCACTTTTAGATGACAGGAGGGGTTCTTACCAGAAACAGAAACGACGAAATTTATTGTGCTTAATAATTATACGCATATAAAGGGAAAAAAAAAAAAAAATGCACTACTAATTCATTATTTTCATTTCTCACTTTTGATCATTACTAATTATTTTTAAACTCCACAAGGGGAAAAAAAATATTATAATATATTCAATATTTGCATTAAGCTCGTTCAATATATGTATGATATATATACAATGCAAAATGTATACATATAGGCGTCATTAATATTCTACTTCTAAGAAAAAAAAAAAAAAAAAAAATACGTGCTTGGTGCTCCCTATAAACGCATTATATTACCGTTACATTTTTGAATCATGAAGCGTACATAAATAAACGTTAATAATTCTATGTGTATTTTTTTTTTTTTTTTCTTCCAATTTGTGCTAATTAAATTTTAGCAGTAATTGACAAACATAAAAAAAAGAAAAAAATGACGACGGGTTTGTTTTATTAGTTGCTTAATTTTATGATTATATATTGAAATTATAAAAATTGTAAAAGAGGTAAAAAAGGCAAAGACGGTGAAATAAACGATATGGGAAAAAAAAAAGGCGAAACGGGTGGACGAAATAAAATTCGACCTCTCCCAAGTCGGCCTAAAGCGAATGTGGAAAAGTGACAATGGTCACACGTAGGGGAAGCGGCTAAAACGCAAATATGCAAAAAGGCAATCTTCACCAAGTGGCCAATTACGAACTAAGTCCCTGAGCACACGCAAGCATACGCACATCCGGTATATACCTCAGGCATAGGAAAGCTACCTATCATGTATATGCAAATGTGCAAACGCATGAAGGTACACTTCTACATATGTAAATACATAGATATATGTGTACACAACGAAAGGGAGGTGAACGTCTTTTGTTGCTGGTCTCTTGTCCCCTTCTGCATGAATGATGCGAGCACGCATATATGACACGTGGGTTAGACTCACCAAAAGGCGCAATCTTCTACCCCACTGCAATAAGCAAACGTAGCAATGCTTATGTAGAGAAAAAATATCGAGTCTGTGCTTAACTGTAGGTGTGGAATGCTTGTTGGTTCAATGAATAATGTAGGGGCAGATGAGTTAAGACGCGGAAAGTTGAATGTTGAAGATGATGGTGTGTGGTGAGGAAGTTAACAGGTTGGTAGGGTTAACAGGCCAAAGGGGAAATAAGTTGAAAAACAAAAACGTTAAATAGGCAAAAAACTAAAATGGAAAACGGTTTAAGTTGAAGCGGCAAGAGGTTAAAAACGCGAAAATGTCGTTCTTTCGTAAAACTTCAAAATTTCTTACTCGACACACATAACAAGAAGGTAAAATAAAAAAAAAAAAAAAAAAAAATGTAATAATGGCGCTGCGTTCTCCGTTGTGCAGTGTCCTCGTTTGGCCTTTCTGAGCTTTGCAAGTGTACTACTAGCACGCTTTCAAAAATATATGTAGCATTTAAACACATTCTTTACTGTTATGTACCTCTACGTATTTTTGACACAGATGAATGGCTGTGTATTGTATGATAGCTTTATTAAAAAAGAGGAAGAATGCAAATAGGGATGTGTATTTTTTTGTTTTCAATTTAAATTATGCGTGCAGCGTAAAATTTTATACCATTCTATACATATAGCGGAGTGGCTTCAAGCCAGCTTCCAGTCCAAAACGACACGCTTTCCCCCTCCCCCTTTAGTGCCTGCAAGATCCGTACGCTGTGTGTTAGCAGAAATGCATGCGCTTGCAATCTGAGCGGGCGGGGGGTTCCTGATCCGTGCGCGCACGGCGACATGGGTTATAGCACTATGGCTCACGTGGCCGTAGAGCCGAACCACCTATTATCATTAGAAAAACCAACAGGATCAAATGGTCCTACTCACACTGAGCATGATTTCACGTGAATACAATTTTAAACCTTTTCTTGACCCCAAGTTATGATAAATTGTGCACAGTTAATTACGTACGTTTGGAGGAGGGGGGTACCATTTGAGAATACGCGAAGTTCTACTTTTGAATGTCGACCGACTATGCATATGCACGTATTGGTATGATGGTGATGAGTCCCTAACTCTCTTCTCTTTTGTGCGTTTCCCCCTTGTTGCTGCAAAGGCAGAATTACACATAGAGGGTAAAATACAAATGTGCCCCTTTAACCTTTGTCACCAATTGTGACATTGGAAAAGGTTGACTGGTCAACAGGAGAAGTATTTCCCTTAAGCGTTTCACCCCGAAGGACTTCCAAACGGTCAAAAGGATGCACAACAGAGAAAGGATCATTCTGCAGGCTGTCTCTCAATTTTTTTTTTTTTTTCGTTTTCTTCCCCTTTTGGCACAAAATATCGTTCATTTCTTTTTAAGTATCTCAAAAAAAGGTGCATGAAAGAATAAATAAATATGTGCAAGTAGTTACACCTGTCAAGCACATTTCGCCCTTACGTTCGTTCATGTGAAACTTTTTTTTTATGTCTCCCCTGATAGTTCTGACCACTGAAAAAGTTAAACATGAAATAAATGGATGTGTGTAAAATGGAATGGGTAATTAGCTCGAACGGAACTCCTTCAAATGACTAAATTAATTGCTGATAAAGCGTCACTGAGGAAAAAAGAAAAAAAAAAAAACTCACAATAGGTACCGCAAAATGATGTAGCAACGTGTATACACAGCCTATAACGCATTGTACAATATCACACAAACTATGTGATGGTGGAAATTATTTCATTTAAGAACAATGACGCTGCTACTGTAGACCATCGCAGGGATGGTAAACTTTTCTTCACATTTATTCCCCACTAGGGAAAGTTTTCACCGCCGTTTGACACCCCCAGATGAAGGCAACGCCGTCAATAAAATGATTAATCCGTTTTGATCTAGCTTGCCCGTTCATCGAACACTCTGGGCTGAATGACCCATCACCGGTTGCTGCTGTTTAAATGTATATCTATATGCGTACGCGCATAAGTCATGTTCATATCTACTCCCCTAATTAATCACTCGTAAGAGAATCCCACTTGGAAAAAACATTTTGCGCTGAAAAAAAAAAAAAAAAAAAAAAAATGTAAAAAAAAAATTTCAACTTCGGATCCACCGTCCCATCAATCACCCCACATTTAGGGGCCTACATTTTTCTCCATTATATTGTTCACCGCCAAAGGAACACATAGTAGGATTTCCCTGTGGGCAGTTTTTCCTCGTGTAAGTTAGACTACTCAGTGAAAATGGGGAAATGCATCCCGCTTGTGCACGCACCTTAACGCGAAAATGATGTTGATGTCATTTTTAAATGGAACGAAAATAATATGGGGAAGAAGAAAAGAAAAGCCGTTCCTGTTGGCCATTTTTAAAAATTGGAAAAGTGTTGGGAAAACTTTCACCTCCTCGAGTGCCTACACCTCAAAAGGGATCTCAGAAAGTGTGAACGGGGAGGACAGGTTCATCCAGCTGCGGCATTCGGACAGCCCCACCAGGTTAGAAAAAAAAAAAACAACAAAAAAAATTATGTGAATAACAGTAGTCATGTGTTAATGCCCATGTTTGAAATATGTCATGAGGCGAGATGGCGAACATATGCGCTCACGCAAACACACCTATTCGAATTATTCACAAATCATCCCCGTAGATACCAAGAAAATGGAATAATGAAGACAAAGAATTGGCCGAAGAAAAAAATCTCAAAAAAGAAAAATGAACTTTATATGTTTCTAAAAAAAACAGGCAACAAAAAGGTAGACTTTCACGAGCTAAATATTGTACTAACAAAAAAGATAGGGGAAATGCAAAACTTTAATGAAATATATAAGTTGATTTATTACAACAAAGACATTTTAGTCCCCCTAAATTACGTTGTGTGTGTTTATAAAATGTACAAATTGGCGAAACAGAAAGAGTGCAGAATAGTGAACTACGAGATGCACGTAAATAGCCGTGTCGTTGGTGTAAGCATAGAAGAGCTGTGTCGGATGGCCGCCCTGGACCAAGTGAACGACTACGGAGAGATAAGTCAGAGGGTGGCTATGCATGGGGGAGAAAGCACCTCCATTGGAAGCAGCTATGGAAGCGGAGAAGGGTGTGATGTGTCAAAAAGACAGAAACCTCCGTATATGATGAACCCAGAAGAACAACCACGCTATCTCTACCTCGACTACAAAAACGAAATATTACAACACTTGGTGGACCAAATAAACAAAAATTATTTTGTGAAAAAGTTAACCTACCGACACTTATCAAACTTACTCTTTGCATTGATAAACTTAAAATATTACGACATTGCAACCTACGTGATGTATGCCAAGCATATAATCAGCATGTATGTCCACTTGTCATCTCAGGCCATCGCAAATATTACCTATTCGTACGCTTTACTTTTCAGTTTCTACTCAATCGATTTTACAATATGTTATAAAAATTACGTGTACAAATATTACATACCTACGGGGGAAAGTACATCAGAAACGCTACAACATGACCCTATAAACTTGATGTTCTTGCTCCTCAGTCGGTGGATGTGCATGAAGGCTATCAAGCACTTTAACGCAAATTGTAAAGGCAAGTACGACGTGGACAGTTTTTATAAAGGCGTTTTATCAAACACGGAAGAGTTAAATGAAAAGGAAAAAAAATATCACTTACAATTTAACGCACAAAATGACAAATATGAAGAGAAGAATTTTTTTCAAGAATTTTTTATCTTCTTATGGAGCATGTCCAAATTAAAAATTAACAACATTTACATCGATTTGATGCTCCATACAATTCACCAAAATAGGAAATATGTTTTCCCAAAATTTAACGAAAAGGATATATGTAATTTTATACAATCCGTGTCTACTTACTATCCGATGAAAAAATTAAGTCAATCGTGTAAGTCTAATGCGAATCGTTCTTACGAGGTTTCTCTGGGGAATGCAGAGTCGTTTATCCCTTTTGACTATGATGCCTTTTTGAGGAGTGCCCTCCTGTGTACCATCTTCCATTTGAAAAAATGTAGTTATCAACACTACGCGATTATTTTCAAGTGCCTTCGAAATGTGCAAAACATGGGTAATACCCATAACTGCGAGGACGTAACAATTTGGGATGATCCCATGTCTTGTTCATTCCCATGTGGAAACAACAGTGACACTCACTCGACTGAACCAGACCATCAATCCCATTTTTCATCAAAAAATTGTTCAACAAATAAAAAAGGAGAAGAAACACGCCTGTTGTATTTTTCCAAAGCGAACTCTGTACAAAATGTTTTAAAAAAGTTATCAAAAGTTGTTGTAAAAAATTTACTTACAAAACTTAGGAGCAGAAATGATGACATTCTTTACCATGTGAACTACTACAAGAGAAGCTCAGCTCTAAACTTACAACACTTGTCTGTATACCTTTACAATTTATCCCTCATGAATGAATTCTACGTGGAAGACAAGGAAAGGAAGGAACTGACCCAACGGCTAATTTCCATTTTGGAGACAGGAATAAAACGTGTGCATTCCTTTGATAGCAAGAGCGCACATGTAAAATTGGAGGACAATTTTTTGCAACAGAGTTATGACAACCTGGTTTGTCTAAGCAATATAAACTACGCGTTAAATAAAAATAACATTACCAACGAATCTTTAGTAATACACTCAGCAGTACATTTCTTCAAAATGTATCACGTGTTTTACAATGCGTGCAGAAATGCGGAAAGGACGGCACCCTTTTTTAACTTTCTTGACAAAATAAATGAAAGAGTATTATCCATTTTTAATTGGACATTTTCACACACAGGGGTGGCCCTCATGCCATTATTCACTTTAATTAATTATCATTATTTATACCTTTTATATGTGAAAGACGCCCCAAATATGTTTGTCCTTTTAAAAAAAATATTACTACCAATGACTGTATACAATAATGTCACACTCTACCAGCTGCGCCTCATTTTGAAGCTTCTAATAAACTACTATATGTCTCACGTTGTCAATAAAAGGGAAGGTGCTACTAATTGCTTGGACACTCTGGATCGTACCCACGATGATATGCTAACTTGCATGTACAGCTTGTCTTTAGTAATAGCAAATATCTCGCATAACATACGGTGTGAGAAAGTCCCCGTGCAAGGGAACACCAAACTGAACAGTGACAAAGGCGAGTACGTCTATTTTTACATAAACTTGGCGCACAACTTGTTAAGAAGTTACTTCTACCACTTGTACAGTTTAAATGCAGAAAATATAGAAAAGTACATTTTGCAGCCCTCCCAAAATGAAGACAACCTTATGAAATTTTACACCTTCTATTTATTTGTAAAAATTAATATGAATAAACATGTGCATTATGATAGGAATGTTGTGAAGAAATTTGTAAGCTCCAGTGCGGTACCCAAAAAAGGGTTTTACTTTTTGGAAAAGTTACTTACTTCCTTTTCAGAGGAGAACAGTGGCAGTTCGGGGCACAGAGAAGGTCGTCGGTATGGAGAGTCATTTGCACACACCGATTTGGCGATGATCGAAGGGGCACAAATGAGGAACAACTCGGGGAAGGAAGCGATGGACGAAGAGCTAATTGAAGAGACCCGCACGGTTGGCAATTACCCGAATGAAGGGAATCATGCTCAAATGAAGGAAGATAACAACAGGGATGTTCTTCCACTGTACGCAAACAATATTGGCAACAGAAATTATTCCCCCAGGGAAAATTTTGGCATTTTTTATTTAATACAAAAAAGCATTCACCCAAAGGAAATAAAAATGAATAAAACAAACTTTCTATTTTTAAAACAGCCGGATGTGTCGAAAATTTTATTTAACCCACGCATTGATAACGACTTGAGAAAAGTGGAGGAGCGAGTCCTTTTAACGTTTAAAAAAATAGAAAGCTCCAAATCGCATATAAAGATATATAACTATATAAAACATATTTACGAAAAGAAAAAAAACAGCACACAGAAAACCTTCCCTATACAAAACGAATACGTAGTAAATAAGAACAACGCTCTTTTTGTGGTAGACATTTATGATAAAAACACAAACACGATATTTGAAATCGACGGAATTAGTCATTACACAAAACAATACATACCAAACAAATCCCTGGACTCTTTTAGTTTTTTTTACAATTACAAATCGTATTACATTTTTAAGCACTTAATTTTAAGGGAAAATTATAACATTGTCCATCTGCCTTTGCATGACAGCAAGTTGTGCCGGAGCATAATTTGCGACTACTATAAAGCGACAAGCGAAAATGGTTAACTCCAAAAAAAAAATATATGAACATGGAATGCTAAAATTCACGGAATTTTCCTTTTAGCTAGATAAGCAGCTGTGATTTTTTTTTTTTTTTTTTCCTGGTCAGCTCAATATATTTTTATGTGTGCAAGCGTGCGGTAGACATACCAACGACGGTGGAATTAGTGCATTTGACAACTGCACGCGAACGCTTTCTTCAAGCATTTTGAGAAGATTTGTTTCGTCTAAAAGGTCTAATCTGTTAATGCTATCGAATTATACGTGTCTTCTGTATGGCAATTTTTTATCCGGTTATCCCTTACTGTGTGTAATAATTTGTCCATAATAACCACACTTGCAGCTAGCTTTTTGTTTCTTTTTCCATATATATTTTTTTTTTTTTTACCTGGATCTTCTGACATTTTTTTGTTTAATTTTTTAGTTTGTTTTTTTTTTGAAAATGGCTACCCATTATGTTGTGCAAGCCGCACTCGCACTGCTGTGAGTTTATAAGTATGGATTTTTTTTTTAAATATTTCTATGTTGTTTATTTTCCTATATGTAGCAATCAGTTTCACATTGTACCCTCGCGTGAATCTTTTTCTACGTCTCCCTATTTGCTTATTTAACCACTTCCTACTGAGTAGCCTTTGTAGCGGTTAACGTGTAAAATGAGTTTGTCCCATGTTTCACATGCCTAACAAATTGAACCAAATCGTAGCCTCTAATTAAAGGGGTACACTTATTTTGCCCATAGTTAAAAGAATAGGTGGCAAGGGGCGAATTAGCATATTTACCCTTTTTATATACCCTTTAAAATATTATGTTGGTTTATTTGAGCAAAAGGCCTTTTTCACCTATTTGCTAACATTTTGCTCTTGAACTGTTTTTCCAATCGAATGACTTAAAAATGGAAAACTGTTCATTATGTTGTCTTTAAAATGAAATAAAATTGTGCTGAAGTTTGATGCCTGTGTTTATGTGCACTACTGCACGATGCACATACTGGCATTCATAATAAATTGATAAAAAGGTCAAACTAAAAAAGCGGAAAAGGAGAAAAAAATAGGAAAAAACAAAAAGGACAGGGTATCCGCACCTTTGCGTAATTTGATCACACGTGAGCATCATTTTGTACAGAGTCCCTCCTATAATACCATCCATTTTTTCTTCCTATATTTAATCCCTTAAGATTCTTGCCCATTCACATTTTTGTAAATCCAGAGCCTTATCCTCAAAAACGCTAACTTTCAATCCCGCTGCGTAGAAAACATTTCGAGCTGCGCTTTCGTTTTCATTTCCTTCGTAATTTAAATCTTCTATAATTAAGTCGTTCAAGAAGCATACGGTAAATTTCTATATAAGAAAAAAAAAGTGTGTCATATTTAATAGCTTCTTCTATCATGCGTGGAATGTCACTTGCAGAAATCAACGGCGTTTCTCTTAATACGCATACGGTTTAATAATGCACACACAAGGAGCACTTTTCAAAATGTGCGTTGCGTGTATTTGGCTTAAAGGTAAATGTTGTGGAAAGGGAGCCGTCCTACTTTTTCTAGCTTAGACTTGATCCTTTCGCTCCGGATATTCTGCAAAAACAAAAAAAATAATAAAACAAAAGTAAAGAAACAAATAAAGCAACAAATCGCATGACGATTAAAATTCTGTAGTAACATCCTGCTTGAGAAACGCTCCATCTACACCATTGTTATATGTCTAAAAGGGTGTAAACGGTGCTACTGTTCCCGTTGCGTACTTCACAACATCTTTGCAATTCCCTTTTCTCGTCCTCGTTAAGTCTTTGTATTATGTTGGGGTGTATGGAGTTGATCAAGCCGTTCACACTGATGGCCAATTCGAGTATAAGTCTGTTTCTGAAGTTTCTATATGGGGGATGCAAAAAAAAAAAACAAAAAAAGCGGCATTTTTATAGCGTATACTGCTTATTCATTTTGAAGATATACATCTTCCCCTCGCTCATTCACAACCCCGTTGCGTTTCAATCATTTCTTAAGCTAACATGTATTCGTTTAAAAGCTTAGACGCCTGTGAGAAGAGGACTGCGTAATATTCGCATCTCAACTTAATTGTCATTTTTTCTTTTCTTTGATTTTCATCATTCATTGATCCGTTAAAATTAATTAATTTCCTTAAAGGGGGGGGGGATAAGAAACGCATTTTTAACAGCGGGGAACACACACAAAGCGTCACAACAAACACGTGGCAGAGAAGCTACACAAGGAACCCCTTTTATGGGTGTGTGCCAAGAAAAGCAAGTTGCGAAAGGGAGTCCTACACACAACGAATCATTTACAGTGAGAAGACAAACTCTTCTTCTCCTGTAACAATACAACGTAATGATGCAGTTTCATTCAAATATTACTCTGCGTAAATTTTGTATTGCTCAAAATATCCCTTCAATTCTAAGTACGCTTTCTTCATGGTCTCCGTCGGGAAGGTTTGAATTCTGTTACTTATTTGTTCCTCCCTAAATATGAAGGGAAGTATTTCCAGGCACGGCGATTTTACCGACATTTTTTTTTGGCTATTGGCACAGTTTGGCTATTTTGCCTGTTTGGGCTATTCTCTTTCTCCTTCGTTTCCTGTGTACGATAAAATTGCGCCTTTTTTAAAGGGCAAAATTTAAAGCTTGGAATGGAATTAAAATAAACGCCAAAATTCATTTGGCGAAATGAATCAAGGAGTTTTTGTTGAGAACACATGGCTAACCATGTTCCGCGGGGAAAAAAAAAAAAAATTATCAATGGCCGAGCAAAATTCAGCGACGGAAACCAAAATTTGGACGACGAAGCGCAAAACCCGCAAAGGACGCAATGCCGATAACATTTATAATTGCCACACATAAATTCCATTCAACCATCTAATTTAATCCAACAATACCTCGAATGTGTGCCCTCATTAAGGTGTTAAAAGTGTCTTCAAATGTTACTTTGCCAAATTAAGGTAAAGATGCTCCTTAAGAAGCGATATCGCTAAAAAGGAAAGAGCGGCATATATTTTTCCCCATTCTTTTCCCGCCTTTTCACTATTTTCCCTTTGCTCTGTTTTATATATAAGACCTTATTCCCCTTGTAGTAAATCCTCATAAGACATTCAACGTCGAATTAACTGTTATGGGCGAAATACCTCCCTGTTCCGTCTACTTCTGACACAATTATTATTGCCATAATGGAAAACGATGTTATACTTTTTTTTTTTTTTCTCTTTTTTTTCATCCATTTTGCTCTATCCCCGTTGAAAGCCAAAATTTAAAACTTCTTAATGTCACTTTTTCGTCTTTCTTTTCTTTTCCAGCTACGTGGGGAGGAAAAGGAATGCGCCGATCGAATTTATTCCATAGTCGATGGTACCGCAAATTGGGAGGGGGAAAATGGCGCGACGTGTGCACGTGAAATTCAGGACCAGCCGCTCGAACGAGTTTGCCATCCAGTTAAACAAGAGCGTTACATGAACGAATTTCACAAAATGTTGCCGCGCACTCACACATACACTTCACAAATGCATGTTCCTTGTATTTCCCCTCCCCAAATGTAAGACCTTTTGAAGAATAAAACCTACTCCAACAGTGAAGTAAAAAAGAAAAAAAATAGTAAAATGGAAAAGTACCCATGTAGAAAAATGGCAACATAATATCCACCTTACCGCTGTAACAGACACAATTTTAAACATCTGCCCAGCCTGTGTGCCGTACAATGCAAAATTTTCCCCCTTCACAAAATAACACTGTTGATTACTTTCCCGTTGGGAAATTTTAATTTTTCGGTCTCCTCAGATAAACCAATGGTCAAATATCATCTGCGAAACGTCCATGGATTTTCTATACTCCAAATTGTTACCAGCCAAGTACATAAGTATGAATGCATACATTTAAGCGAGTAGACACAAAAATGACAATCGGATCGATAGAACCATTATGGGGAAAAGAAAAGAAAAAAAGGATCCCTCCCCCATAAATGCTTCTATTTCTTCTCATCACTATATTTATGTGCGAATTGTCTAATTTTCTAAAAAATCACTCGTAGAAATGATACTATACACCAGTACTCTTCAACTTTACAAAACTGTCCATGTCGTTGTTTGTTTTTTTTTTTCCCCCTTTTCAGTAAGTTGCTATATTTTAAAAAGCGCAAGCACGGAAGCGGCTCTTCGATTTTCTACCTACTGGGACAACGGCGATAGTCATACTTAAAAAACAAAAAAAAAAAAAGGCACTTTGCGCAAGCACGCACATTCACAATTGCATACACTAAGGAGTGCTCAGGGGAAAACAAGTTAACCGCGCAACCGTTTGGCCTCATTAAAACCCTGTGATGTTAAAGCAGTGTTCTCTCTTTTTCACCCTCTCAGAACACCTCCAGATATGCTGGCCAAAGGACCAAAATAACAGCAGCAACATGCTCTGCTATGTCAATGTCTATATTTTAAAAATTGCACAGGAGGGAATAGGGGCCCTGTGTCCATGCGGCAAAACAGAACAAATGTGAAAGAAAAAGAAGATAAAAAATAATTTGAATAAAACATATTATAACATCTGAAGTTGTTTTTAACAGAAACATAATAAAACAGCGAAATGTAGGATACATATAACAGGGAAGTAATTTTTGTTTTTTTTTTGTGTGTGTGTATGTACGTGGGCGTAGGCACATATATATTGTATGTAAATTTAAAATAATCTTATTCTACACAAAAAAAAAAAAAAAAAAAAGGGGAGGAAATAATTTTACGCATATACAATACGACAACGCTGCATAATATGCGTGCACCTCCCTCAGCTTCTTCATTTCGCTACTCCACTTCTTCCTTGTCACCCGCACATTCCTCTAATCGGTTAGTTTGGTGTCATACAATTTAATCCCCACTAGCACGCGAACATGCGCTCCAGCGTAACATACACACTCTTATATACGCTTATGTATATATATGTACACATAGGCACATGTATAAAGCTGGGAAAGTGTAATTTGCACCCATGCGTGCCGCTAAAGGATACGTTTTTTTATGCG